AAGGCGTCGGGATGAGCAGCTTGTCGGCGAGGGCGCCGACCGGGCAGAAGACCGCTGTGCATAGCCCCTCCGTGATCCAGGTGAGCCCGGCGGGGAATATGGACTCGTTGTACGCGCCGAGGTTGCAGTGCCTATGGTGAAGTCGGGATCGCAAGGTGTATGCCCGCATCAATGTAGGCAGGGGGGAATGGAGCTCTCGAGGTTGCCACGAGACGACCAGCCGCGGCGCGTCCGCGCCAAAGAGGTGCAGGAATCGGAAGGCGGCGAGGAGCCAGACTCCGGAGAGGTTGAGAGGCATTACGACGTGAACAACGTCCCAGCGCTGGCGGGCGAGCTCGACGAAGGCCAGCGGCCGCAACACCATCATCGAAGCGCTAAAGTTCCAAGGGTTTGCGAAGGCCCAGCAGCACTCAGACCCCGGGTGGCAGAGCGTGACTGTGCAGCCTCGCTCGCGAAGGCCGTCCGCATACTTCCCGACCCGGCGGGCGATGCCGTTGACCTGTGGGGGACAGCCGACGGACATGGGCATCGGGTGTGAAGCGCATTCGGCCTGCTGGGCTTTGCGGTACCTGCGGCGGCACGTTTTCGGACACGAGGAGGACGCGCATGCTGCTGAGCTGCAAACGGGTGCCACGATTGCCTCTCGCCGTCGGGCTTTGGCCGCCAGTGCATCGCGCCCCGAATTCTTTTCCCTGGTCGGGTTCATTTGTATTCACAGAACGTTTGCTGTGATTCAAACTCGGCCGTCCTTCTGATCATCTTCGGTCGGCGACATCGCTCCCCCCATCTGGCTCCCATGTCGGCCCACCCGTCGATCAAGGCGCCGTTTGAGGACGTGGGGTGGGCTGTCAAGGGCAGCGCCGAGGAGGAGGACGAGGCGGCCGCCGCAGCGATGGCAAAGGCGCTGGACCGCGCCCACAAGCTCCGCGCTTCCAGCGGCCGCGCGTCAAGCTCGGAGGGCGGGCACTCTCAGGGCTGCGCGAGCAGCACAGGCGAGGGCGGCCTCGAGACTGTCGTGCTGCGGCACGAGAGTGGCGCCACCGCCGAGGTGCCCTTCCCTTGCCGACCGATCCCGGCCAGGCAGCCAGTATAGTCGGGTGATGATTGCTCCATTGCTCCACGCGCAGGTGTATCTGTTTGGGGCGACGCTCTGCAGCTACAAGTCGCCGGACGGCGTCGAGCATATCTTTGTCTCGCCCGGCGCAATCTTTAACGGCGCAAAGGCCATTCGCGGCGGCGTCCCGGTCGTCTTTCCCCAGTTTGGACAGCCCGACACGGCGATGCCGCAGCACGGCGTCTGCCGGCCGGAGAAGCAGCACGTGCTGTGGGAGCACCTGCACGTGCCCAAGTCAGGGGGCACATCGCTCTCCTTTGGACTGACGAACATGCTCTGCGGACCGACTATGGGCGAGATGCCGGAGGGCCTTGAGCCGTGGGAGGTGACAGGGGTAGTCGCCCGGGAGCCCCGCCGCACACTCCTTCACGAGCTGCAGCACGTCGACTGTCGGACTCTCCACAATTGTTTGTGCCACTCACCGATGATTTTGCTGGACTACCCAGGCACGGGGCACGCGCGCGTGTGTCAATACCATCCTTGACACCGAGCTCTCGTGGCCGAGCGTCGCGGAGGTCGAGAGCCTCGCCCGGATGGAGCACAGCGTGTTCGACGTCATTGCGGCGCGCGGGATGGCGCTACAAAGTGCGCTTGCTCCGTGGCACGGGTTCCCGGCGCCGAAGCTCGTCTTCCTGACGACGCTGCGCGACGGCACGTCCCGTGCCCTCTCGCACTGGGCGCACTGCACCATCCAGGAGCCGGTGGTCGTCAAGGACGGGAGCACTCGCTGCACCCTCGGCATGATCCCGATGCCTGAGAAGCCGGCCTGGGACGACAACTCGCTAGTGCAGTTCCTTCTAAAGGACAACAACCCCCCGGGCGCCAAGCCCAAGCAAGGCCTGCGCATCAACAACGCCCACGTCGGCGCCCTAGCGTCCGAGCCGGAACACACGACGGTGCTCAACCCACTGCATTTGGCCAAGGCCAAGCAAACGCTGCTGAGCTCCTCGATCGACCTGCCCGATGGCACACGCGCTGAGGGCTTCTCCTGGGTTGTGGGCTTCACCGAGTGCTTGGAGGACCTCTACCGCTTCTTTGCCGCCGGCATGGGCATCCCCGAGCACGTCGCATCCGAGACTGCGTCGGTCCACTACGAGCAGCGCGCGTCCTCCTCGCACAGCGAGGGTGACAACCGGCGGCGAACGTCGGTGAAAGTCACGCCGCACGGGCGCTTCTTGACGGCCGACCCTGCGGAGCGGCGCCTCGCAACAACCACCGGGCTAAAGCAGGGGGCCAAGCTGGCGACAACGATGAACGGGCTCGACAACGACCTATGGAGTTGGGCCCACGAGATGGCCAACGGCGCGAACCACAACCCGCGCACCACGTTCGTGGGATGCCGCGATCCACCGGCCCCTCAGCCCTCGGACTAGACGGCCCCGAGCCACTGAGAAAGACGAGCGAGCGAGCGACCCCCCGCCCCATATGTACACAATCTCTGTATGCGCGCATTTTGCTTGCGCGTCGCGCGCGGCCACAAGCCGCGAGAGATCGAGGGGAGGCTTGGGTGTTAACTACAGAAATTTCGAGTTGAAGTTCACTTCTTTTTATGCATGTGGTCAACCCCGACCGTGTCCTCCGTCATGTGCCCGTGTGTTCGCTTCGCGCCGCGAGCGGCAGCAGCAACCTACTCAAAAACCAAAACCAAGAACAGTGTGCCCGCACGGGGCTACACGAGCCTACGACGCACACATACACGCGCACGACCACGACGAGACGACAGAGGCGGACAGGGGATGGCGAGAGACACTTCTGTGGACAGGCCCGCTCGGTCGGGGGGGGGCCTTCTCGTGTAGCTTCTTGCGTGGCGAGGAGTGCCCGCACGTGCGTGTGAGGTGTGTGTGTGTGTGAGAGCGGTTGTGAAGGCTGAAGCGGCCGCTCTCTCGCCTCTCGGTGGAGGAAGTGGAGAGAAGTAGGTCTGGAGCCGTGGAGGCTAGCGATACACACAGCGTAGCTAGGTCAAGTTAGGGCCGAGGGTAAGGTTACTAGGATTGCGACGAACGAGCCCCCTCACACATGACAAACGAGCTACGGCGTGAGAGGACTCAGTGCGTGGTGCGGGTTTGGTGTGTGGTCGGGCCGGCCCCGCTCTCCTCTCAGAGTCAGCTGCCAGCCGCGGTCCCAAGGCCCACTGCGATGCAGCCGAAGAGGGCGGCGGCGGTGGCAGCGGCGATCAGGTTGTCTCGGGTGAGCACCGCAGTCGCTCTGCGGCGCAGGTCGGCCGCGTTCTGCCGGACGAGGCTCGCGGGGTCGGCGAAGATGGGCGAGATCTGCTCGAGAGTGAGCCCGCTCGTCTCTGGGACGAAGAGCGCGTAAAAGACGAAGGAGGCGGCGGCGACGGCGGCGTAGAGGTAGAAGGAGCCACTCCACTGCAGCCGCTCCGACATGGTGAGGAAGGAGGAGGCGACGAGGAAGGAGGTGAGCCGGTTGGCCATCGTGGCGATGCCCATCGCCTTGCCGCGCACCTTGTTTGGGAGGATCTCGGCGAGGACGAGCCAAGTGATCGGGCCGTACGAGAGGGCGTGGAAGGCCATGTACGCCGCGAGAGACACGCAGATCCCAGCTGTCGCGGGGCTCGGTCCGGCGACGCCTCCGGCGAGCTTGAGCTGCATCGAGAGGCCGAGGCCGAGCAGGGAGGCGGTGAGGCCGACAGCGCCGAGGAGCAGCAGCGGCCGCCGGCCGGCATGGTCGAGGTTGAGCAGCGAGTGCGTCTCGAAGAGCAGCTTGACGAGCCCCATCGCGACGGTGCCTCCGATGGCGGCCGACTTGGACTCGAAGCCAGCCTGCTGGAAGATCTTGGTCGAGTAGTAGATGATCGACCTGCGGCGGGGGCACGCCGAGGTCAGGGCGCGCACAGTGCAGCGCACTAGCCGCCCTCGAGCGGAGCAGGAGTGTGTGTCCCGCATCTACGAGGGCCGACTCGATCCCGACGGCGTGCTGCAGCACCGCAAGCACCTACAGGGAGGCTCCGAGGAGGTTCCGAGAAGGTTCGATGCCGCCTGCGGCGTGCCGCAGCATCGCCATCACCGTGCCAACCACGACCGCGGTGGAGGTGGGCGGGCGCAGCAGGTCGAGCCACGTCCCCTCCTCCTCGGTCGCCATGTCGCGCACCATCTCGTCGAGCTGCGCGTCCGCCTCCGCCTCGGGCGCCGGGCGGAGGATGCGGCGCTGCACGGCGCGCGCCTTGTCAACCTTGCCTTTGCCGATCAGGAAGCGAGGCGACTCTGGCAGGAAGAGCATGCGCAGGGCGAGCAGGATGTCGGGTGCCGCGCCGAGGAAGATCATCCAGCGCCACTGGTTCGGCACGCCCGACAGGAGGTAGTTTAGCAGAAAGGCGAGCAGCACGCCTGGAACAGGCCGAGAGGTGAGTGTGCGATCGCGGCGGCGCAGCGTGAGGGGGAGAGGCGGAGACCGAAGGAGAGGGACACCTCGCCGAGGGTGACAAGGGCGCCGCGGAACTGCTTCGGAGCGACCTCCGCGATGAACATTGGCGAGATGAGCAGCCCCGCACCCACGCCAAAGCCCTGCAGCCAGCGGCAGCGCACGAGGTGCTCGTAAGAGCCGGCGAGGGCCATGAGCGTGGAGCCGACCGCAAAGGCGCACGAGGACATGAAAAGCGCGGGCTTGCGCCCGAAGGTGTCTGCCACCCAGCCAGACACCAGCGCGCCGGCGATGGCCGCCGAGTTCATCGCCGCGGCAAACCGCTCCGCCTGCGCCGACGAGAGCGAAAACTCCTCCTGGACAAAGAGGAGGATGCCGGAGACGCACCCGATGTCGTAGCCGAGGAGCAGCGAGTCCATCGCGGCGAACACGGCGCACGCGAGCACGAACGGAGGCGCGCCCGCAAACGAGAGCTTCTCGCGCAGCTTCGTGACCGTCTTGGGCACGGCCGGAGGCTTGGCGCTGACCGCCTTGGGCAAGGCGGGAGGCTTGGCACCGCCGCGCAGCCGCAGAAGATGCGGTGTCGATGCCGCTGGTCGCGTGACAGATGCGGCGGCCGCCGTGGCCACGCAGCAAAATAGAAGACGCTGCGCCATTTTTTGCGGCCACGCAGAATGCGCCATCGTTTTTCACAAAAAAGACGCTCCGCCTGTGTATGAGGGTCAGGGGAATCCTGCGGAGCCGCGCAGCGCCTAGATACATGTCCTGTGTGCTGTGTGGTGCACGTCCTACGAGGGCGGGGTGCGCTGACGGCTGAGCGCTGTGCCTCGGGTTCGCGTGCGTCGCCCACTGCCACATCTCTCGACTCTCCGGCGCGGAGAGAGTTGTCTGCTCTGTTTATTAAAGAGAGAAAACGACTCCCGCCTCAAGCTTTGCGTGGTGTGTGCGCCAACGACCGCGGGCACCGACGTAGAGAAAACCACACAATGCATCGATTGGTGCGCTTGTTGGTGCGGCGCGCGTTCATGGGGAGATCGCCAGGGTGCCTGCTCCGAGGGCCCCAGTGCCGGT